AAATATATTATTGTGTAATTATGTTCCGTACTTAACAAAATTAATTTGCTACCCCACATAACAATGTATTATAAAATATAAATCATGATTAAATTAAGCTGCTACCGGATTGTCATATTAAATGTAACCATAAAACGCGCATTAAATTCGGGTACCCCTTATAGCATAAATAGAATATGTTTACTTGCTGAGATTTTACTGTATCTAAAAATATAAACTGGGTTATTGATTAGTATAAATGCAGTGAATACACACATAATTAATAGGAAACCCCTTTAATATGTGAATATAATAACTGTGCACAAGTTCTTAAGGGGTAAATGTTGTGGAAATAACTTTTTGCCTCCCTTTCCATCCCTTTCCTTACAGTTTTTTTTCGATGAGTGAATGGGTTTAAGATATGATAAAATAGACATAAAACGCTAATTTGTTACAAATTTAAACCTTTAATTTGCTCGCTTGGCTTATCTGTAATATTGATCTTGGTACTCATGCATAAATATTCATGTTAAATGGGTATTATACTTTTTAAGAGCACTTATCGCGAACAAATTGCTTTTGTACAGTAATAGCATTTTGTTGATTTTAATGTCATTAATGCTATATAATGCTAAAAACCTAATAATACTTTAAAATAAAATTCAAAATTTTTAATTTATAAATTTATTCAATATATTAAAATACTTATAAGGGATAATAAGAAATAAAAATAATGTAATGAATGGTATTAATTAATCCAAACTTTAATGTAAAAAGCGTTTATTAAATATTTATTTACAAAAACTTTAAATTACAGTTTTTATTAATTATTACTTACAAAAAATATTTATCAAGACTTGTATAAAGTATGTTTGAAATTTTAAAGCTATTTATAATGAATATGATTTTACGTGTTGACCATTACATTTAAAAATACCTAGTACATTATAAAATTATGGAAAATTATTATAATTCAAATTTTGAGTTGGGAAACAATTTATTTGAAAAATATTTAGTATAAACATTTTTATACAATAGTATATATAAAAATATCTAATTATTTTACATGAATTAAACAAAGATTTTTCTAAATTAAATTTTGAATACAAAAATGTATATTACATTAAATTTTTTAATGATTACAAACAAAAGTAACGTTTTTAAAAACAATTAATGATACAATCATTTTGTGAGTTGTATAGTTTTATCAAATTTACAAGATTAAATCTTGGTAGCTTTAAATAATTGGTATCAAGCTCATTTTAGTCATTAACAGCATTACCATTTGCCTCCATGACCACCACCATAACCACCGCCATAACCACTTCTATAGCCACTATAAGTGCCGTAATTGCCACCATAACCTCCATGGCCTCCATAACCCCCGTAACCACCGCCATAGCCTCCATGTCCACCATAACCGCTCGATACAATTCTGGAGCTACCGTAACCTCCATGTCCACCACCATAACCGCCGTAACCACCATAGCCTCCATAACCTCCATGTCCTATGGATGATGAATATCCACCTCCGTGTCCTAAGGATGATACATAACTGGAGCCTCCATGTCCTCCATATCCTCGATTACCGTATCCACTGCCACCCCAACCACCGTACCCTCCATGACCGCCACCATAGCCTCGGCTATAGCCTCCATAGCCACCACCATAACCCCCACGACCTCCATAGCCACTGGTGGCGTAGGCCAGTGCCATAAGGCCCAGGAGTACAAATGCAAACTATATTAATAATATAGCATCAAGTTAATTATTTTTCGATTAAAATAATTTATTTTAAATAAAATATCAAAATATTTTTTACCAAATATTTCATTATCAATGAGTTATAAGTAGTTTTGAATTTTGCGAATAAAATTTAAGAAAACTTTTTGAAATTGTTTTCAAATCAGAAATGCTTTTAACGATAGAGTGCTAATGTGTTCACTCTTTATATAGTGTTTTTGTACGTACGGTGTGACCCCTCCCTTATCCATCGCCGCATCACTTGGAGATTACAATAAGTTTTGTTTTTCATGTTTTAATTGATTATAGGATTATTATGGACCTTGAGTACATTTCACAACGTAATTAAATAACAACTAAAATAATGCATGCGTTTATATAAATAACACTCAATTCTTACACATAAATAGTTATTAAGAAAAATGATAAATAATAAAAAACGCTAATTAATGAACCACCCGGTATTAAATACTGTAAATATTATTTGAGAATATTTGTAAATATTTAAAACTGTACAACATAATTTTTAAAAATATTTTATTGTTAAGTTTATTTAAAAATAAATTTGTTGGAGTCGTGTAATTCATATGATTTTTTTATTAAACAAATTTCTAATAACCAGGGTTTAACTGTATTAAAACTTTTTATTCAAAATCTTCATATTATATATCACTGGAGGTCTCCATCCCATTGAATAAGACTTTTTTGTTTACGATTATAATAATGATCGGAATAAATTAATTTCACGAAAATCTCATTAGTTTTTATAGTGTTATTAAATGATATATTATTTCGCATAAAAGCTTTGAGTGTTAGATAAGAGGGGAGAGTGAGAAAGCCGAGGGATTTATCTCATTATCTGATTGTAATCTTTATCTCCCATTCCCTTAACACTTATTTACTATTATTTAGTCTTTTTCATTGAGAGGTTCTCCTATTTTTCAATGTTTTTCCCTTTCATATGAAAGTGTATTAAACATTATATTCAAATCATAAATAAAAGTTTACTTTTGT